GTTAGATAGATAGATAGATAGATAGATAGATAGATAGATAGATAGATAGATAGATAGATAGATAGATAGATAGATAGATAGATAGATAGATAGATAGATAGATAGATAGATAGATAGATAGATAGATAGATAGATAGATAGATAGATAGATAGATAGATAGATAGATAGATAGATAGATAGATAGATAGATAGATAGATAGATAGATAAAACCTTCACTGTATCCTAATATTAGTTTTCAATATTTGCATTTTTTATGTTCGTTGGTACAAGACTAGGCTGCCAGTTTCTCCAGTTTCTTTTTTATATATTTAATTCAGAATAGGTTTAATGTTTCACTCAAGCTGACCACGTTTCTTTTTTAAAACTGAATATATGTCAGATTTATGGACCAGACCAGCTGTACTGTGTTCCCTGATAGAGGCGGGGCAGCTTCTATCTGTGTGATTTATTACAAAAGACAAAGCGTCTCCTCCACGTTCTGCAGCGTTAACCATCCCTGTATCTGAAGAGACCCACAGCACCGTGACACCAGCTCAGTTTGTTGCTGCTGTCACATAGTCTGTTTCAGACATTTTTTGAGAATCCTGCACTTATTGACATGTTGGTGCATTAACAAAATGTACCCAGGAATCCTGGCCAAGAATCCATGGGAGCTGACTTTAAATGTGTATTTACAAAGCAGTAAAATTAAAACTTTCATGTTGATTCCTCTCTTTGGCTCGGCTCGTTTGTACGTTTAGTCTTCGGGGCTCTCAGTTAATCTTCCCACCATAGCAAAACCAACAAACATTCCACATTGACTGAAGGCTTTATGAAACCATCCCATAATTTGAAAAGAGTTATTGTTAGTCTGCCTTATAACCATGTGGCAATTTTATTTTGTTGCATGCAGGGATCTGAGAAGAACCTGCAGCAGTCACATTAAATCAGTGTGAGCTCACCAGTCTGGCAGGGATCCATAAGGTGTGAGTCTGAAGAGGTTCTTGTCTGTTTCCTTACGTTCCTCTCGGTCAGAAGAAGATGGAGGCCCTGTGGATCAGTGGGTTGTTGCAGATCAGTCTTTAAAGTTACAACTGAATAAACAATCCAGCACATTAAGGAGTTTGGTGGATTCACTCACGTTCTGTTGACCACTGATCCGAGTCTTCCAGCTCTGGTTTTGGAAAACAATTAAACAGATTTTAGCCTTTTTATAGCACGGCGGTGTGGCTTGAAACCAGATTTATTTTACAACCTTGTTTAAAAACCAAACATATTTCCAATTTACCAAAGATTCAAAATGTGAAAGAGCTTTTCAAAATAGCTTTTTTAAGAAAACACGAATAATTCTGCTTAGATTTGCACAACATGAAGCCTATTTAACATCCCATATAAGGAAGAGGTATAATTTGGCATGAATTATTGCATGTTTTCCACATTAAGCACCATTTTATGGGCTCAGTTTTATAACGGGTAGAAAACAGACCCATTATTATCTCTAATTCACTGTAATAACTCCTGTTCATCTTTTGCTATTTGTGGGATCTAAGTGAATTTGAGCTGAAACCAAGTGAATTTGAGCTGAAACCCTGTGCACAACAGTAAACTGCACAGTATTCTATTTGTCAGGAATTTATTAATTCAGTTACAGTTTAAGAAGATGGAGCTAACAGTTTTACAGCCCATAATAAGAACCAAATGACTGAGATTTGTTCAGGGCTGAGATAACAAGCTGGGTTACTGTCAGAACTCATAAACAGAACTTGCTGTGGTAATAACTCATTTGCAGGATAAACGGTGCCTGACGTATGGACACAGAGGAACTCCCTCTGCTGTTGAGTTTGTAAGAAGAAGAAGGAGGAGGAGCGTCTTTACCCTCTGGCTTCCTGTGAATCTGCCTGAACATGCTCCTGTACCAGTCCCTGGGCTTTTTCACACTCTGGTGTACAAAGAGAGACATCAACAGTAAATCAACAGGGCCGTGCATGACACCATCTGGAACAGGAGCTGAAGGAGACGCTCTGCCTTACAGATCTGGAGGCGATGGGCATCCCTGTCTCGTCCACCGGTCCGATTCCTGAGAACTTGATGAGCCTCTCCTCCTTGTTTGATGTCCAGCTGCGAGGTAAACTGTCTTGGACTCCGTTGGACAGGCCACCTGCGTTAAAGTCACAAAAGCAAGATTTCATCAATCCTGTTGCTGTTATTTAGGAGTGAGTTTAGTTAAATGATGAAACTGTTTAAGTCTTACAACAAACATTCCAGGTCAGTGCTGTTTTGTTTGCCTCATTGTTTTAACTTGTATTTCAACTTGATTTTCTGTTCTAGCTGATGCACAGTCCCTCAGCTGATACTCCAACTTGAATTTATTTCTGCACTTTCATTTACCATGGTACTTTTTATCACTTTAGGTTTTTTTTTCTTTTATAAATCTAACAGTGAAAATTTAAGTGCTAACAATTTTAAACAGCCAAACATTCAGCAACCTTCAATGGAAAGTTAACTATTCAAGAGATTTGTCCCTTTCAGGGACTTTCTCAACCTTGTTTTCAGCCTAAAGAATGACATGCATAACTTGGTCCTTAAACTACATGCACCCTCATTGCCATTAAACGTTATGCACTAATATGAAGCGTAGATTAGAAAACGTGTGATTTTACTCTGCAACTGTGATGATCCGTAGTATGATCCAAAGCTGGGCGCTGCTGGTCCTTCTCCATTCAGCTCTGACCCCTTCAAGTAAACAGAAATATCCAAATATCAGCGAATTTTTCAAATACTGGCAGAAATTCGGTGCACATGAAGCATGTGATGCTTCAGCTTTCCACAGGGAGGAGCACTTGGCCTCCTGTTTTTTCTGCTCGGCCTCAGCCTTGGTATGAACTGAGGGATGTGTCATACCTTGACAGCTCCAGATGGCAGCCTAGTAGTGTGAAAAGGGCTCAGAGGAGGAGTCGGCAGTCCGGGGGAGATGACCACCTCGTAAGACAGCTCTGGAGATTTCAGGCTGGGGTGTCTTGAAGAAACGTCGGGCTCCCCAGAAAAAGTGATCTGGGAGCCATGGCCGAGCACGTCCGCTGCACTCTGCTGAACACAGGAAATGAGAAATATGGATGAACAAAAACAATGTGTGACCTTTGCTCCTGTCCTGTCCTCCTGTGGGCCCTGAGTAAACAACGCTCTCTGCGAGAGGTCATGTGAAATTGTTAGCGGTCCTGCTATTCTCCAGAGAAAAACGGGCCAATGTGTTGGTGGTGGGGGGTGATGATGGGAGAGGCTGTGATGAAAAGGATTTTTAAGTTATTTAAAGCACAAGCAATGGGAAGTGGGATTACACCCTCTTCTTCATCTCTTTCTCCATAACTTCAGAAAGGCTTCCTTCAAGGTGCAGTGTGTGTGTGTGTGTGTGTGTGTGTGTGTGTGTGTGTGTGTGTGTGCGTGCGTGCGTGTGTGTGTGGTGGTGGTGGTGGTGGTGGGGGGGGGCTCTTAAACAGGAGACGATCATTTAGGAGCTCTTAACCTTCCTGCTTACAGGTCAGGGGATGGAGAAGTTGTTCATGTCTGTTTCAGAATCCAGCAGTTTTCATGGTGATGCTTTTTCAAGATGGCCAGTCTAACCCCACCACTCCTCCTGACCCACTAGAATCAGGTGCTTTGGTCCTCTCTGTGTGGGTGCCAGGGGTCATGGGAACGACCCCGTGCCTCCTGGTAACAGTCCCTCTGTTATCTGCACCAGAGACACGTTGCTGTGACACACCGACTCTAACACGGTGAAGAGTTTTCCCTTTCTTTGGCTTGCTTTTGATTTTGCCAGTTTTGAACTCGTTTTTTTTCCAGGTGTTAACAGCTGAATGTAGTTAAAAATGAAATTAGAAGCAGCTTTACCTGAGTCTGCATGAGATCTGCTGTGGTCTTCCAGAGACAGTTGTCAACCTCTTGTTCCCAGCATCAATGATCTGCAGAAACACACGTTTAGATTAAATAAAAATTAACTTTTTGACCATTTAAATGTTTTGGACTCGTATGATCATATGAAGGGCGGCACGGTGGTACAGCTGGTGGTGCTGCCGCCTCTCAGCAAGAAGGTTGCCAGATCAAACCCTGGTTGGGGGCCTTTCTGGGTGGAATTTGAATGTTCTCTCTCTGCATGTGTGGGTTTCCTCTCACAGACCAAAAACATGCATGTTAGGCTGACTGGTGACTCTAAATTGTCCCAATTAGTAAGAGAGTGAATTGTTGTTTGTCTCATTAGTGTCTATTTGTCCCTGTGATGGACTTGAGACCTGTCATGGGTGCCCCGTGCCTCTCGTACAGTGATAGCTGGACATGGGCACCAGTGACCACCGTGACTCAGAAAGAAAAAAGCAGGTATACAGTGTAGATAAGAGGTGGGTGATGATCATATGAAGTCATTCAGTGTGTTTAATTTTAATATCACCTCTTTGCACGAGTAATCTCGAAGCCTACAAATGGAACTGGCAAGAGATGGGTGCACTGTTAGATTATGAAATTAGCATGCAATAAAGTCCAGATTATTTTTTGTTTTAATTGTTGTATATGTGTATGAAATGTCCTGATGCAGGGGTCCATCCTGGGTCCCCTCCTATTCTCTCTATACCTGCTGCCGCTTGGTGCTATTTTCCAGAAACACAACATGCCCTTTCACTTCTACGCCGACGACTGTCAAATTTACTTCCCCCTAAGACACAATGGTACATGCTCTATTCAACCTCTGCTCGACTGCCTGGCTGACATCAGGGACTGGATGGCTTTAAACTTCTTAAGTTTCAATGAAAAGAAGTCTGAAGTCATGTTGTTCCCTCCCAACGACACAATCACAAACCACTACATCGACCTCTCCACTCTAACCCTGTCAGAAAAACAAAGAGTCTGTCATAGCTCTGCTCTCTGTCAGCTCCTCTGTCATGCTGCACACTCAGTAATCACTCAACTCATGTCACCTGTCACCGCTCATTATCCCACAGCTCCACCACCTGGTCCAGTCAGTACTTAAGCTCACTCATTCCTCTCAGTCTGGGCCAGATTCTCTATCCTGTCTCATCAGCAGTAGACTTTCCAGCATTCCATTGATTGACTCATCACGTTCATGACCCTTGCCTTGACCACGACCATGCTTTTGCCTCAGCCCTCGTCTGCTCTTGCTCATCTGATCAGGTACCGACTCATGCTCTTGTTTTTTGACTCTCTTTTTGGATCACGTACTGGATACTTCTGCTGAACAACTGACTTCACGGTATGAACTCTGCCTTTCCCTTCTGACTGTTTTTTGGATCACGGATTAAAGGTCAAGCTCATTCTGTATCACGGACTTATCCTTACCCCTGAATCTGATTCCCACAGATTCATTTCCCCAATTAGTCTCTTTCCCCCTGCATCTACTAACCTTTATCTTTTAGTTGCAAGCCTGTTGGACTCCGTTCCAGTGGACCTTAACATCAGTTCTACTTCTACTGGCAGCCCGCCACTACAACACTACCCAATCACAAACTACCAATCAGAAGATCGGAACCAGCCCAGAACCGGACCTACTCCAGAGTTTTACTTTATTTCACAATAAATCTTTTAACCCTCTCAGTGGTTGTTGTTGTTGTTTGCGATCCGGCCTCTGGTTCGTGACAGTAGAATCTGGCCATTATGGATCCAACACCAACCCGAGAGTGGTGCTCTAAGGTAGAAGGGGCTGTTAGTAAACTTGAGAAAGGGCTTCAGGAAATGGTTGTTTCTCTTCAAGCTTTGTCCCAACAGTCAAACCAAGTCATCAACCAAACCCTGTTGACTCCTGCACCAAGAGAACCACGGTTAGCCCCCCCTGAACATTTCAGAGGTGAGCCTGAGCAATGTCGACCATTTTTGACTCAGTGTGACATTCAATTTCAATTGCAACCTTCATGTTTTCCCACTGAGCATGCTAAAGTAGCTTATGCTGTCTCACTTCTCGCTGGAAGAGCCAAGACGTGGGGCACTTCTGAATGGTTAAAAGGTGGCGTGGTATGTCGTAATTTTTCTGAATTTTCCAAAGAGTTGTGTCGGGTTTTTGATCCCATCCTCCCTGAGAGAGAGGCAGCCCGAAGAATTTTTGATATTAAACAAGGCAAGGATTCTGTAACCAAATACATCATTCACTTTCACTCTGTTTCAGCAGACAGTCATTGGGATGAACACGCACTCACTGACGCCTTCTTCAGGGGGCTTAATGAAGATGTTAAGGATGTGCTGGCAACAATGGACTATCCCTCATCCCTACGCCAGCTGGAGGAGGTGGCCACCCGTGTTGACCTTCGCCTGCGTGAGCGTGAGCGTGACCGTGAACAGAGTCGAGGCAAGGCCACAGCCATGTCCAGAACCAGACATCACCTTGTGGATCATGAACCTAAAACGGAACAAACCAAGAGCCCTCAGGATCCTCTGTATGCTACGGAACCCATGCAACTAGGAAGAAGTCGTCTGACCACCCAGGAACGAGAACGTCGGAGGAGGTACCATCTCTGTTTTTATTGTGGTCAAGGCGGTCATGATTGTCATCATTGTCCAGTAAAAGACCAGGCTCAGCAGGAGAAGAGAGGCTCCTGTTGAGTCTTAGTCATAAGATCAAGTCCTCTCCACCTATCATGTCCAAGTCCAAGGTCAAGTTCATAATAAAGGGTGGTCAACCCGTCATCGTCTCAGCTTTTATTGATTCAGGGGCCGACACGGAATTCATTGATAAAACCTTTGCCAAATCCATAGATCTGACCATTGTTCCATCACCTAACAACCATAAGGTCCTCGCTTTAGATGGTCATCCTTTAAGTCAATCTAGTCTTGAAACTGTTCCAGTCACCATGGTGTCAGCCAACAACCATTCGGAACTGATCAGATTCATTGTTATTGATTCACCCCAACTCCCAGTGGTTTTAGGTTCCACTTGGTTACGCAAACACAACCCCCAAATCGATTGGAGGAACCAAGAGATTGTAGGATGGGCTAATGAGTGTTATTCTACATGTATTCAGAGCCAACCCAGTTCACCAGCCCTTGTCACAGCCAATGAGGAGACCTATCCTAATCTAAGTCAGGTACCTAAAGAGTACCATGATTTGAAAGAGGTCTTTAATAAATCAAAAGCTACGTCCCTTCCGCCACATCGTCCATACGATTGTGGTATTGACCTGATCCCAGGTTCTACCCCCTCTCGGGGTAGATTATATTCTTTGTCTGGTCCCGAGCAAGAGTCCATGAGGAAATATATAACAGAGTCCCTCCAAGCTGGTATCATTAGACCTTCAGCATCCCCCGCTGGTGCAGGTTTTTTCTTTGTAGGGAAGAAAGATGGGTCACTTCGTCCATGCATTGACTATAGAGAACTTAACAAAATAACCATAAAGAACAAGTATCCTCTGCCCCTCATGAACTCTGCTTTTGATATAATCCAAAATGCTAAGATGTTCACCAAACTGGATCTTCGCAACGCTTACCATTTGGTCAGGATACGGCGGGGAGATGAATGGAAGACGGCTTTTAATACCGCAGATGGCCATTATGAATATCTTGTTATGCCATTTGGCCTCACCAACGCTCCTGCCGCTTTCCAAGCCCTGGTTAATGATGTCCTTCGTGACATGATTAACATTTACGCTTTTGTTTACCTTGATGACATACTTATCTTTTCACAAGATAGCATTTCTCACCGTCGCCATGTCAGAGCTGTCTTATCCCGCCTTTTACAGAACAACTTGTTTGTCAAGGCAGAGAAGTGTGCTTTCCACCAAGTGTCCACCTCATTCCTTGGGTTCAACATTTCTCCAGGTCAAGTATCCATGGAACCCGGGAAGGTATCAGCGGTGGTGGATTGGCCCAAGCCCAAGGATCGTAAACAGCTGCAAAGGTTTCTCGGTTTTGCAAATTTTTATAGGAGGTTCATTAAGAACTACAGTTCAGTTGCAGCTCCTCTTCATTTTCTCACCTCATCTAAGACCAAGTTCATCTGGGACTCCGTTGCCAACCAATCATTCCAGAAGCTCAAAACATTGTTTTCCTCTGCTCCAATCTTGCACTCTCCAGACCCCGAGAAACAATTCATTGTGGAGGTCGATGCATCCAGCACCGGGGTGGGCGCCATCCTCAGTCAGCGCAGCACAGATGGTAAGATCCACCCCTGTGCTTACTTCTCCAGGGCACTCTCCCCCGCTGAGAGAAACTACGACGTGGGAGACCGTGAGCTTTTGGCAGTCAAGATGGCCCTGGAGGAATGGAGGCACTGGCTGGAAGGTGCGAAGAAGTCCTTTTTGGTATGGACCGACCATAAAAACCTGGAGTACCTTCGCACAGCAAAGAGACTCAATCCCCGTCAGGCCAGGTGGGCTATGTTTTTCTCTCGGTTCAGTTTCACCCTCTCTTACAGACCCGGGCCCAAGAATGCCAAGCCGGATGCCCTGTCCCGGGTCTTTGAGGTCAAGGAAGGGCCCTCAGAAGAGGTCGAGTTCATCCTGCCTGAGACCGTACGTCTTTCTTTGACTCAATTAGAACTCGATCTCCAACAAGTCCAACTCTCCGAGCCACGTCCACCCACCTGTCCTAGGGGGCGCCTGTTTGTCCCCAATCAAAAGGTAAAAGAGGTTCTTGAATTATGCCATTCATCAAAGTTGTTCTGTCACCCAGGAATCACCAAGACCCTCCAACTCATTCGCGCCCGATTCTGGTGGGCTACGCTTACGGAGGACACCAAGCACTTTGTCAAGTCATGTCCCGAATGCAATCGTGCCAAGTCTTCCAATCGCCCACCTGCCGGGCTGCTACGACCCCTGCCAATTCCTTCACGCCCATGGTCACATATTGCTATGGACTTTGTGACTGGATTACCCCCTTCTGAAGGTAATTCAGTGTTATTGACCATTGTGGACCGTTTTTATAAAATGGTCCACCTGGTTCCTCTCCCCAAGTTACCTTCTTCCAAGGAG